TCTTCTACTATGAGATGTTCAAACCTATAATGAATCATATATATGCCCAAGCCTGGTTAATTAGAAGCCACTCAGCTCAGTCAAAGGCAGTAGCACTTAGAAGATAAAGTAATATGATGTGAGCCACTTACCTATGTAACTTTAAAATTTCTACTGGTCACTGAAAAGGTAAACAGGTAAAATTAACTTTAAAATCTTGTCTAACCTAATATATTCAAAATGTTAACACTGCAAATATGCAATCAATGTAAAAACTGAGATTTCATGCTAACTTATATTCTCTTAGGATCATTCTTTTTTTTTTTTTTTTTTTGAGATGGAGTTTCACTCTTTTTGCCCAGGCTGGAGTGCAATGGAGTGATCTTGGCTCATGTAACCTCTGCCTCCTGGGTTCAAGCGATTCTCCGGCCTCAGTCTCCCGAGTAGCTGGGATTACAGATGACTGCCACCATGCCCAGCTAATGTTTTTGTATTTTTAGTAGAGACGGAGTTTCACCATGTTGGCCAGGCTGGTCTCGAACTCCTGATCTCAGGTGATCTGCCTGCCTCATTCCCCAAAAGTGTTGGGATTACAGGAGAAAAGAACCTGTTAAAAGAAGGATCCTTGGCTGGGCTTGGGGCTTGGGGCCCAGCCAAGGATCCTTCTTTTAACAGGTTCTTTTCTCCTGTTGTTGTAAAGTAGTGTCAACTAGTTCACCCTCCAGCCAGTATTCCCACACTCTCAATGATGGCACTCGGTTATTGAGCAGGTTAACTAACACATGCAAGATCCCACAAAAGGCACTTGTTAGAGACTTTGAACTTCCAAGGAAACATTAAGATGGCAGGTTATCCATATGGCTCATAAACAGACAAATACTAGAAGACCTTAAGGTTACCTGGCTAAGATGTGCTACGATAGAATGAAACCAGATCTGATGGAAATACCTCTTCTCTTTCTAGTCTCCATCTTCTGACCCAACTGCTTTCTTGAAAGAGCCAGTATGTGAAATATCTACATTTAAGACATGTGAGTACAAGATCTGGGAAATGCAACAGTGTATAGTTATACCATTTAAGTAGCAAACTAACCCAAGACTTAGTGCCCAATTCAGACTTTACAGTATCATCTATAATACTTTATAAATCTGGATCACCCTGAATATGGAGTTTTGTATTCTGTTCTATTTAGCAATCATATTATAATCATTTTCATAAGCTATTACCTCCAAACACATGGATGTTGACAGCTACTGAGATTTTGATTAAGATGTCTCCAAAACACAGACTCTAGCCTGCCCCCTATTCAAATGACTGTTCAATCCCTCAAAAAATACTGACAGAGCAAAGACAGGCCAGGAACTGTTGTGGGTGTTGGTGATATGGTGCAAACAGGACAGACAGGGCTTTTGACCTCACATGGCTTATATTCTAGAGGGAAACAGGCATAAATATATAGTATCAGGTACAAATAAATGAAAAGAACATAACGCAGGGTGAGAGACATGTAATCATTTTAGTCTAACCCTATTATTTATTAGGTTGAACCACATGAAACTGCTGATATTCAACCATTTCTGACCTACAGAATGGGCAATTTCATAAGTTTCATGCCATCAGGAAACAACCAAGAATGCTTCTGATGGACGGGAAATTATAATGAATCCCTGAAAGGCAAGAAGGCACAGTGGCCTGGACTGGACAAATATCTCTCCCATAGCAGAGGCTCTAGGAAAAGGCTGTGAATGCAGAAAGCTCAGAGACAACTTATGGGAGAAGCAGCGTGGACGGAGGCGGTGGGCAGGGTGACTGGATGGGGGATCCTGGAAGGAGCCCCAGATGATTTAACTCTGCACCACACCCTCATCTCCATCCAGCCCTGGGGACTCTGTCTTCATCCAGAGCATTCTGAGAGGCAAATATTTCTACCAGGAATGGGGGAAGGGGTGGGCCCTAGTATAGTAGCCCCCAACCTTTTTAGCACCAGGGACCAATTTTACGGAAGACAATTTTTCCACAGAGAGGGATAGGGGGATGGTTTCAGGATAAAACTCTTCTACCTCAGGGCATCAGGCATTAGATTTTCATAAGGAGTGCAAAACTTAGATCCCTTGCACACAAAGTTCACAATAGGGTTCCTTCTCTAAGGCTGCTGCTGATCTGACAGGATGGGGAGCTCAGGCAGTCAAGCTCACTCTTGCCCTATAGCTACCTTCTGCCGTGCATCCCGGTTCCTAACAAGCCACAGGGATTGGAGACCCCTAACCTAGAGACCACCACTTTCCCCTGTGAATTCAACTACTTCTAAACCCAGAAAAGGCCCAAGAACTTGGTAGTCTATTATTGTTGTCGTTTTTTCTTTTTTGGGGCGGGGGGTGGCGTAAAGGAACAATATATATTACTTGTGCAATTAAAAAAAAAAAAAAACAAAACCCTAGCACCTCTGGCACCTGATTGATCGTATTATGAAGAGACAACTGGACACATCACATGCCTCCTGACAGGATGCAGAAAGAAAGATCCTTACCAAGAATTCAAACCTGGTTATGATCAGGCCACCAGAGCTAAATCTAGTTTACAGCAAACACAGGGGACAAGAGAAGTCACTAAATGACACTTAAGGATACTATTAGTAAAATCCAGAATGAGGATGAGCACTAAAAGACAAAAAGGAATAGGAAAAAAGAAGGTGGAATCCTCCAGACTAGAAGGCTTATTAAACCCACATGTGTAATGAATGGACCCTTATTTGAATAAATCAACCATTTAAAAAAAGTTCATGAGACAATAGAGTGGAGAGAACTTCCTAGATATCTAATGGTAAGAAAATATTAATTTAGGCTCTTAAAAAAAAAGTCCTTTTGAAGCTAGAATTAGGAAATTAAAGAATCCCTGATTATTATTATTATTTTGTGTATATGTTTAAAAACTCCCATAATATAAAGAGACAGTCTACAGACTGAAAAAAATGTTTACAAACCATACCTCCAATAAGGGGTTAATATCCAAAATGCATAAGGAACCTAACTGAAAGAAAGTTCTGAAAACACAACCTGATTAAAAACAGGCAAAGGATTTGAATAGACATTTCTTGAAAGAAGACATACAAAAGGACAACAGCTGTATGAAAAATGTTCAACATCACTAATCATCGGGAAAATGCAAATAAAAACCAAAATAAGATATCACCTACACCTGTTTGAATGGCCTTTTTGCTCTATCGCCCAGGCTGGTGTGCAGTGGTGCATTCATGAATCACCCCACCCTTGACCTCCCATGTTCAAGTGATACTCCAACTTCAGTCTCTTAAGTGGCTGGGACTACAGGTATATACCAACATACCTGGCTAATTTTTTTTTTTCTTTTTTTTTTGAGGCAAGGTCCGGCTATGTTGCCCAAGCTAGTCTCAAACTCCTGGGCTCAAGCAATCCTCTTGCTTCAACCTCTCGAAGTACTAGGATTATAGGCACGGACCACTGTGGCAGGCCACAATGACTATTATCAAAATGACAAAACATAACAAGTGTTGATGAGGATGTGAAAGAAACAGGAACTTTGTATACTCTTGGTAGGAATATAAATTAATATAGCCATTACTAAAATTCCTCAAAAAACTAAAAATATCAACTACCACATGATCCAACAATCCCATCTCAGGGTGTATAAGGAAATGAAATTTTTTTTTCTTGAGACGGAGTCTTGCTCTTTCACCAGGCTGGAGTGCAGTGGCGCAATCTCGGCTCACTGCAACCTTCGCCTCCCGGGTTCAAGCGATTCTTCCACCTCAGCCTCCCGAGTAGCTGGGACCACAGGCACGCACCACCACACCCGGCTAATTTTTTTGTATTTTTAGTAGAGACGGGGTTTCACTGTGTTGGCCAGGATGGTCTCGATCTCTTGACCTCATGATCTGCCCCGCCCTGGCTTCCCAAAGTGCTGGGATTACAGGCGTTAGCCACCGTGCCCGGCCAGAAAACGAAATTTTATGTCAAGAAAGATACCAGCACTTCTATGCTCCCTGCAGCATTATTCACAATAGCCAAGAAGTGGAAGCAACATAAATGTCCATCAACAGAAGAATGGATAAAGAAAATGTGGTATATATACATGACAGAATATCATTTAGCCTTAAAAGAGAAAGCAATCTGTCAATTGCCACAACATGGGTGAACCTGGAGGATATTATGTTAAGTGAAATAAGCCAGCCACAGAAAGACAAATAATGCATGATCTCACCCATATGTGGAATCTAAATAAGTCCAATGCATAGAAGCAAAGCGTAGAAAGGTTACCAGGGGCTGGGGTTCAGGAAGATGTTTATCAAAGCACAAAATTTCAGTTAGACAGGAGTAATAAGTTTTTGAGATTATACTGCATGGTGATTATAGCTAATGCAGTGTATTATGTATTTCAAAATTGTTAAAGTAAAAATCAAAGGTTCTCCAAAGATAATATGTGACGTTATGTTAATTAGCTTTGCTAATCATTGTACAATGTATACATATATCAAAATATAATGATGTACCTCATATATACATTTATCATTTGTCAATTAAAATTAAAAAACAAACACGATGAAAAGCTTAAAGCAGGCGGGACGTGGTGGCTCACACCTGTAATCCCAGCACTTTGCACTGTGGGAGGCCGAAACGGGTGGATCTCCTGAGGTCAGGAGTTCGAGACCAGCCTGACCAATATGGTAAAACCCTTGTCTCTACTAAAAATACAAAAATTCACTGGGCTTCGTGGCGTGTGCCTGTAGTCCCAGCTACAGAAGGTTGAGACAGAAGAATTGCTTGAACCCAGGAGGTAGAGGTTGCAGTGAGCCGAGATCGTGCCACTGCATTCTAGCCTGGACAACAGAGTGAGACTCCATCTCAAACAAGTAAACAAACAGAAACTCCGAGCAGGTCTGCAGCCCTGCCCTCCCAGTTTCCCTACCGGTTCCCACACAGTAACCATTTTAGCTGGAAACGACCAGCTACAACAGCCTAAATAAAGCATTTTGTATGACTGCTTACCTGTCAATGAACTGATCAATAATGACAATATCGCCGGGCTGAATCTCCTCCCTCAAGGAGCCACAAGCTGTGGTTACTATGACATGCGTACAGCCCTCTTCCTTCAAAGCCCAGATGTTTGCCTGGTAGTTGACCTTTGAAGGCATGATGGTGTGCTGCCTCCCATGTCTAAGGAAGGAGAGAAAAAAATCATCAACCTGTGATGAGCACACCACCACCTGTTTTCTCCTAGAGTCTAGAAAAAAAGTGATTCTCTAGCAATGACCACAGACTAACACAGGGGGTCTCCTAGAACCCACTCCAGTGACCAACTAAAACTAACATTTAGGTTCACTGGATTCTGAAAAGACACTTCTGTCTCAAAAACGTAGAGTGGCAGATAGACCGTAGTGCGGTCCCCATTGTGATGTGTTGTATGATGTGTTCGTGAACCTGAGACTTGCATCCAGCCATTAGAAAATGGCGAACGTGCTGTAAGTCACCCCCATGATTAGGCTCTACCTTACAGGCATGCACGAGAGCTTCTCCTGCAGGCCTTCTGCATGCTTTCAAGGTACAGCCTAAACATGAAGGTGACTTCTAGCACCTCCACCATATCCTAATGGCAAGAAGCAAGCTGCTGTCAAATGAATGGCCTGTGGAGCAGGCCACACGGCAGGGAACGTGAACCACCTCTAGAAGCCAAAGGCCTCCACCCAGCAATGTGCAGGAACTGAATTCTCCTATAACCACATGAGCTTAAACAAGGACCTCAAGCTGCAGATGAGGACCCAGTCCTTGAATATGCCTTGCAGGGCCTTGTGCAACGCCAAGCAGACAACCTGAGCTGTGCCAGACTCTTGACCAACAGGAACTGGGTGACGGCGTGTGCTCTTTTAAGCTGCTAAATTTGTGGTAATTTGTTATGTAACAGTAGAGAACTCGTACATATATCTTGAATAATATCTAACTATGGGATAAAAATGACTTTGCCTTCTCTGATAAAGAGCAGCACCAGCCTCCTTACGGAAACAACAACGTAGACACAAGTAACCCACTTCAGGAGCCCTAAGCCCACTCCCCACAGACATATAACTTCTACTATCAAGAGGTCATTAATGATGCATTGTTTTTCTTTAGCTTGATACGAAGGGGGGAAAAATGAACAAAACATTTCGTCTTGCAGTTAGAACTCAAACTGCAGCTTTGATCTTAGTCGTCTCATCTACTTTCCCAATCTAAGGTGCAAGGGCATGAGATCTTTGATCTCCTAAGTCAATATAACTCAACCCAAAATAATACACTGTAAATAAAGGTTGCTAAGATGTTCTGATTTTGCCAACATATAAAGACTCACATTTGCATCTTTACTCTTTCCAGAATTTAAGTTAAATTTAAATTATCTTTTAGTAGTAATATCTAAAAAGCTTAAAATGACCATACCTTGCAAGGAGGACGCAATCAACATTTTTTATCTTCCCCAAAATTAAGGCATCAGACGGCTGCATGAAATGGAAAATGATAATTAACTCAGTGATTTAAAAACAGGTATGTAAATTAAAATTGTTCAACCGCAATAGGGCTCATGGAATCTGAAGAGTCTGAGGATACAACTTAGACAAGGGGCAAGATCTGATTATCAATATAATCATTTAATCAATTACTTACTGATCCCTCTGCACGCACCGATTCACAGAAGGTTACCATGGGTGTCTGCGTAGGTACCATTTAGTCAGATCTATTTGTAATGAGTACCCCAGGGGACTCTGACGGTAGACTGGTCAAATTTAGATACGTCAAAGTTATTGGGCAGGTTCAAGAACAGGTGTGAGGGTGAAAGGCAGAAAGGGTAAGAAGCCACTGTCATGACATTAAGAACTCAGCACTGGAAATGTCTGCTTGTGTTAACCAGGTCTAAGAAAGTTATGGAATGACTTGAAGTAAGGAAGGCTAGAAAGACCTTTACAACCAAGGGGTTTATGACAATGAACCAAGATGACAGCAGGACTGTGAGGACACAAGGTCAATGTAAGAATTTAGCTGAAAAGGAGGGTTTGATTGGGACATCCAGATACAGAGATCTTACAGAAGGATCAGAGGATGCAGCAATACAGAATTAGGAGAATGCAGACACCCTCTCCCTGGCCTAGGCTGAGTGACATGGGCTGGGAGAAGCAGCAATCTCTCCTACAAAAGGAAGAGTGTTTTATTTTTAGCTCAGTTATGCATTCAACTAACATCAGGTATGTTCTCATTCCCCAGGACAATTCTCCCCACTCAGAAAATACTACTTGGTCATAATAATTCATCCTATTAGTCATCAACCTGTCCCCTAAATTAGTGTGGTGTGACCTATTAGCCCCATAATAGAAGGTGATTTGAATGCAGATTTGAAAAGTGCAGTTGCTGTGTCTGAAATGAGCATCAGACTTCTAGCAACAGATTTTGAGAAGTGATTTACATATTCAGTACCCATCTTCTCAAAACATCAAAGTCTGGGGCATCCGTCAGACACCTTCTCAGCTAAAGGAACCTAACGGCAGAACTTCTGGCCCTCTCTGATGGGAGCAGACAACGCTGGGCCGCCAAAACAGAAGCAATTATTTTTTCTTTAAAAATCAAGCTAGCAAGGAGAAAGGAAAAAGCTAACACGTCTCCTCCAGTTGGATATTAACCTTGCCAAATGGAGTATCCACATATTTTTCAGTTCTTCCTTCTAAAATTTCTGGATCATCCAGGCCTGTTCCACCAATTATTCCAATCTAAGAGAGAAAAAGAGATTATTATTTTATTTGGTAATTTTTTATTAGAAAAAAAAATTTTAAGCAAACTCATTTATTCATATGTTCTTCTCCATTCCTGCCAAGCCCTAGTTATATTTTTAAAATCTGAAAATTACTGAACAATCAACAAATATTTGAAAGTCTTCTATAAAAATCAACAAATATTTGAAGGCCTTCTATATTCTAAAAAGAGCCAAAAGGCCACCTTTTTGGATTATATCACATTTACTTCTGACTGAATTACCAGTCAGCACAGAGAGGTACTTTAACCAACTCGGGTTAGAAAATCAAACCTAAAAGTAGTCAAATATGGTAATGGAAAGTACTTTTTGATCAATTTTATTTCTCTGCCAAATGGACTATGGAGTAAAGAATGTTCAGAAGACTGCTGAACATGTGGTAATGATTTCTCCTCACTATTCTATTTGATAAAGAAATGAGAGGTTATCTTTCCTACGCCATTAGAATCACAAAACTAGGAGAGAATGCAGACAGAGGAGACTGAAATAGCATGAAAAGTTATCCTCATGTATATTCATGAAATCAATCATTCATATATATGCAAATTCATATTTATATACTGTAACTACATATATAGCATTTTCAGATTATCTTGAAAATCTTTGAGTTAAAGAAACCTAGCATTACCCTCTGAGAGTTGATCTAATTTGATGATTAAAAAATAGAAACAGCAACAATTACAAAAATAATTATTAACTAAACTGTTAAAACTAAAAATTAAGTAACAAATCATTATGGTAATTTCCTTGGGCTGGTACTTCCTAAAGGAGAAAGTAAACAGTGCAAAGCTAAAGAAATGACACTCTACTAGAAACCTAATTAATGCAAAGTCACCTGAGCATTATTATTCTTCAATGAAAAGCTTTAAATCTATTGTCACTTGAGTAACTAAATAAAGTAGGCTTCAAGAAAAAATTCCACAGTTAAGAATTCAGTGAACATATGAATTAAATAATTTTCAGGTCAGGTTACACAAGTTGAGGTCTATCAACACATAAAAAAATGGTTGCGTTTCTGACTCAGTTTCCTGAAAACAAACAAACAAGAAAATAAGGGCAATTTAGTGAGGTTTTTACTGAAGAACTCTGCCTGTTACCCACGACATGATTACGTAACTTGGGACTGACCCCCATGAATTCCGTAAGTGGCAAAGCCAGGTTTTGATACTGGCGCCATCTTGTGGACGTAATTATTAAAACCACAGCAGGTTAACATATTTTATGTCACCGAACTTAACATTATTGTTAAAAGGTAACCAGTATTATAGTTTTCAAATCAACGTTAAGTGTTCACTTAAGTCAATACATTTAAATAATTCCAGTTCAACAGAAAAGAACAAAAATTCATACGGTTTTAGGAAATCCCAATCCTTCCTGAGCCTGGCTTCTCCATCTTATCCTTCATTCTATGGACCTCCAAAGCACCACAGGTCATGAGAAGGCTAAGAAACCATCAAGCCTATGTCCTCACCTGGGACACAGATACGAACTGCTGATGCTGAAATTACGCTCAGCCGACTCTCTGGGGATTCAGCTACTAGCTTTTTAACTTATCACCACGTTGACTTGGCTCTTTCTGGGTGTTCCCTGAGCCATGCCATCTCAGATTCTGGATTCAACACTGGATGCTCAGGCTCAAATACACAAATCAAGCTGGGCTTTGTTTGCAGCGACCCTCTCAGTTTAGGTGAACTTTCCCAGCATTGTAGCAGTTGTTGAGAAATGCTAACCAGGTTTCCCGCTGAAATCCCTGAGCTCACTCTCAGCAGCCCCAAGCTTCAGTCTGCACCACCTGGCTGCATGATGTCTGCACTAGGTAGCTGGCAACTCAGCCCTCAGCAAGGAACATGTAGTAGCCCTGGACATGAAAGCAAGAGTGGCTACTGTTCTGGAGTAATCTGCAGGCAAGTTTATCCAGTCACTTAACTAGCTCCAGTTGTTTATGGAAACCCACATTGTGCAAGGGATATGGGGACAAGTGTAGCAACGGAGTCCGGCCATCCCAGGGAACTGGACCTCTAAGATGGAGGCCAGCAGGGCCAAGATGTGGCCAATGTTGCCACCTGCTGGTCCCACAGCAAAGTACAACTGGGATGAAGTATCCAAGCACTGATGGCCCAATTCTGTCATACTCCCTTGAGTCTCTAAGTTTGAGTCAAGTCAGTACCTGCCTTAGTAACAAAGTAACTGTGTCTGAGCACTGACACGTTACAGGCACTGTGCTAAGTGCTTCAGCAGCCTTATTTCATCATCACAACCATAAAATGGGCCTTATAAAATGTTACCCGTTTTACAAATGAGGAAAGAGAAACACAAAAATGAAAAATCTCGCCCAAAGGCAAATCATAAGGAGCAAACCTGGGATAGAAATCTAGGTCTTTCAGACCTAACCACTATGATGTGCCATCTCCCAGTATACCCTGGAGTCCTTCATAACATCACACCCTATTGGAAAAGATTTTTGTCTCCATGTTCTGAGACAACATGGTCAGAGAGGTCAAGTTCATGATCAAGGTCACAGAACAAGCACAGAAACAGTGACTCCGGGTATATAAGTGAATCATCTCAGAAGGGAGGACGACTCTCAATGATCTCATCCATCCTTAGGAAACAATGACAAGACCTTGCCAGCCCTCCTAGCCCAGGAGCATCAGTCCTCAGTCCAGTTAACTCTAGACTGTGTAGGAATTGTGTTCAAGACCTGAGATGGTATGTCTGCCCAGCCAGGACTTCTTACTACACAAGACAGAGTTCTGAAATAGGGAGTAAATCAAGGTCCTTGACAGATTTTAAAAGTTAGTGGCTCATGCCACACTTTTCCATTGGCTAACCACCAAATCAAACTTCTCAAAACTAGAACTTCTGCAGTAATAATAAAGCTATGACATCTGCTTCAGAAACCTAAAGCTGCCCACGCCTACTTACAGTGACCTGAACTACCTGGCGTCTGCAACCGTGACGGGGGTCACCATCTGCCTGTGCTTCCCTGGCCAACTCAATGCCGACTTACAGAAGCTGGCTGTGAACATGGTCCCATTTCTCCACCTGCACTTCATGTCTGGCTTTGCCCTGCTGACCAGCCAGGACAGCCAGCAGTACTGGACCCTGATGGTACCTGAGCCTACCAGGCAGATGTTTGAGGCCAAGAACATGATGGCTGCCTGCAACCTCTGCCGTGGCTGCTACCTAACGGCAGCTGCCATGTTCAGGGACCACATGTCCATGAAGGAGGTGGACAGGCAAATGCTTAATGCCCAAAACATGACCAGCAGCTATTTCTTCAGTGTGGAAAGTCACAGACAGCTGTTTTACATTGTTGGTTGGATCCCCCACAATGTAAAAACAGCTGTCTGTGACTTCCCACACTGAGGGCTAAAGATGTCTGCCACCTTCACTGGCAACTACACAGCTATGTAGATCGATCAAGTGCATCTCAGAGCAGTTCACAGGCATGTTCTGGTGCAAGGCTTTCCTGTGCTGGTACACGGGCACGGGCATGGATGAGATGGCATTCACCGAGGCTGAGAGCAACATGAACGACCTGGTATCTGAGTACCAGCAGTACCAGGAGGCCACGGCTAAGGAGAAGAAAGAGTTTGAGGAATGAGCCAAGGAGGAGGTGGCCTAGAGCCTTCTGTTACTGTGTAAAGGGTGGAAGTGGTGTGAGCTCTCTATTCATGCACAGTCTGTTCTCTGACAGCCATGTCTTACTGTATGTGCACTTGCTGTTCTTTGTGTCTTGATATCACATGTTCTAAACACATCCCAATAAAAGCATTTTCATGGTGGAAAAAAAAATTGTTCAAGAGCAAATCAATCCAAGGGTCTGACTTCTCTGAGACTGTGAAAGCATCCAAATACCAGCTCATCTGATCAGAATGGTTACTTCTAGCAATGTAGAAAGGGTGCATACTAGCCCCTACTCCGTCTATTTCTGCTAGTACCTGGCTGCAAGAGATTTTACTAACCCTTCTTAGTCTCAGAAACCAATCATCATCACTTTGAGGTCTGGCACACTGCTATAAGGAACCCAGCACTCTATAATGGCATTCTGAAAACACCATGACCCCAAGCAGTGGAGACCAGCTCATGCCAGGGAGACAGGCTGCCTCTGAATGCTGCAAGTTCATGATGAGGTATGCGAGCCAGAGCTGGAGCTGGCACAGCCCGATCTGAGCATTGCAGTGTTTTAGCTCCGGTTGCCGTAACAATTTTGGCAAGCACAGCAGACAGAAGCCCTCAATATTGGGCTGATGTGGCTTTGAGGCCTGTAAGGGCCTTGCAAAATCCCAGAAGCCTAGCTGTATGGGAGACAGCAGTCAACTGTCTCAGGCTGGGAGGACTGTTAAAAACCTGCAATAGGGTCCACAGGGATAGCTGGGGGCTCTATGTCTGACAAGACACCCCCTTCTGTAAGCCATCCTTGTACGTAACGGTTATGGGTGGAACTGTGTCTCCCCTAAGTTCATAAGTTGAAGTTTCAACTCTCCGTACCTCAGAATGTGACTGTATTTGCAGTCAGTTTTTAAAGAGGTAATTAAGATCAAATGAGGTCACTGGGATGGGTCCTAATACAGTATAGCTCATGCTATGGTATGAAAGTGTTCACCTTCGAAACTCATGTTGACGCTTGGACCCCAAATGTAGTGATGCTGGGAGGTAGTACATTTAAGAGGAGTTTGAGCCATGAGTCCTGGTAATGATCTATCCCCACATTAAGGGATTAATGCAGTCCCAGGAGAGGGTGTTCTTGCTCTCAATGGGTTGGATTAATTCCAGTAAGTGGGTTGTTATAGAGCAAGGTTTGTCTCTCTTTTTTGTGTGTTTTCTTTTCGTATCTCCCTGCTTCCCCTTTCATTTCTTTTAAATGAACCCCTTTTCTTAATAAATTACCCTGTCTCAGGTATTTTGTTATAGCAACAGAAAACAGACTAAGAAAACTGTTGTCCTTATAAGAGA